CTACTCCACAGTCATCTTTGAATTGAAAGTGTTTTTGTTTTGTTTTGTTTTTAATTTTTGGTATATAAGTTTATCCTGTTTCCATCTATTGTCATAACTTTCATACCTGGCATTACCTTTGTTATTTTAATTTTTATTAATTCCATTTTCTTTTGTGTGTGTGTATGTGTGTTGCTATGTAAAGAGTATTATGCTTATTTTTGTAGGAATTTAAAAGAGAAAAAATCTTGCTTTAAATCATACAAACAGTTGCCTTTAAGTTAGCTGAATAACTGTATTTAGCCTTTAATTTTCAAATTATCCAAATTGACTTTCTTACATCTAACTAAGAACTTAGCACAACTTTCTTTGTCCTCCTCACCCACCCTTTTCCTGCTTCCTTATCTTTTTCATTTTAAATTGGGGATATCAATTGATCCAGATTGTTCTTATACAAACTATTTTTTTTTATTATACATATTTTCCTATATTTTATTGAGGTTTTTCCAATATATTGTAAAGCATTTTAACAGCAATTATTTTTATTTATATTTATGTATTTGATTTATTTGAATACTCACCTCCAGTTATTTTATACTCGAATTTTCCCGTTATTGATTTCCATTCTGCTATATTTGTGAGTCATCTGACTTTGGTGTTTTCTTAAGACAGGTAAAAGAGTAAGGCGAGCTCTTAAATTTTGCACATGAGGTTGTTTTCTTAGTGTATTTATACACTTGAATGATACCAATTTTATTGGATATGAAATGATTAGGCTATATCTTTTTTCATCAATAACCTGTAGTTGCTTTTCTGTGCATTTCTATAGTTTAGTTTTATAAATGGGAAATATAAAGTTTGTTTGATTTTTATTCTTTTTTAGGTAACTGTCATACCATCATGAGTGTATACTGATAAAACTAAAATCTCTAAAGACATTTCAGAGTATGTGGGTATATAGAATTTATTTTAATTAATTTTATTGTAGTTCAGTAAGCCCAATTAATCTGTCCATCTAAACAATTTGTTTTAGATCACAAATTTTTATTTTCAATAATTAATAATTAAATTAATATTAATATTTAATTATTATTGTTATACTTTTTATTCTGGTTTCTGTCTCAGGAATATTTATGTCTGTCATCCAACAGAAATTTATTGAATGTTAACTATGTGGCAGACACTATTTTATGCTCTTGGGTTTTCAGCAACGAGCAAAACAAAGGTCCCTGCTCTCAGGGAGCCTAAATTCTGCTAGGAGAAACAGACAAAATGGGAAACCTAACAAATATGTAAATTATATAATGAGTGCTTGGATTAGGGATCTTGGGGAAACTTGTGGTATTAAATTGAATAGGTAGGGTAGGCCTTCTTGAGCAGGTAAGGTATATATTTTTCTTTTTCAGTTTTTGTATTTTTTAAAACTTTCCTTTCATGGTTTGTGATTCTGTTCCTTCTCTCCACTTTGGGGCCTGTTTCCATGTTCAGATTTTCTATCAGTGATTTAATTTTATATGCCATCAGCTTTGCTCTGTTTTACCCCTATGCTATTACATTTTGTTTTGTTTTTTTGCAATCTTGAAATGTTTATTTTTAGCCCACTTAGCTTTTTTCTTTTGTAATTGTAGTAAGAACACTCGACATGAGATCTACTCTCATAACTCAATTTTAAGTGCACAGTGCAGTGTTGTTAATTATAGGCACAATATTGTATAGCTTATTCATTTTTTATAACTGAAACTCTATAACCATTAAACAGAATGGTTTAATTTTCTTCTTCCTCCAGACCCTAGCAACCACCATTCTACTTTGTTTCTATGAGGTTATGTCCTATATTCATAGTAGTGGAATCCTACAGTATTTTTCCTTTTGTGACTAGCTAATTTCACTTAACATAATATCTTTGAAATTTATACATGTGTAAGAATTTCTTTTTTTTTAATACATGCTACATTTTCTTCATAAATTCATCCATCAATAGACATTTAAGTTATTTCAATATCTTGGCTATTGTAAATAATTCTGCAAAGAACTTGGGGGGGGGGG